TGTGGCCAGAGATTTATGGCAATAAGTAGTGGACATTTTTCTGGACTTGTTCTCCAAGCATATGGTCAAATTCAATCAATATTTGCTAAACCAACCACCAAAGTCCTTGTCCTCATGCAACCTGGGTTCTAGTAGGGGACAGATAGTAAACAAATAAATATTTAATGTCACATGCTGACAAGAGAATGGGATAATAGTGGGCTCTGTTTGACAAGATAGTCATAAAAGGTCTCTGTGGAGGTGATATGTAACAGAGACCTACATCAAATGAGGGAGGGAGCCATATAAATATCCGAGGGAAGGATTTTCCAAGAAATGGAATAGCAAATACAAAGACTGAGAGGCAAGAACAAGTTTAGCAAGCTCACAGAAGACCCGGAAGTCCAGTACCATCAGGTAGAGAGAGCAAGAGGAGGGGAGGCAGGAGACGAGGTAGGGGAGGTAGCCGGGGACTGAGGGCTGTTTAATAATCTTTGTGTCCCCAGCTTAGCAAAGGCTTTCCCTGAAGCCCTGTGGTCCACTAGGCAGTTGAACCTGAGTCTCAGTTAAATATCTGGATGTGACCAACAATGGCTGGAAATAGTTAATGCAGCTTTCCAAACTGCTTATCTAAATTGCAGTACAGGAAGAGAAAGCAGCATGTCAAGAGACTGAAGTGGTTTGTCTCAGAGCTTTCCACCACTCCTCTTATTCTCCCACCATCCCTAAAGACAAGAAAGATTTATTGTCCCCATTACAGAAGGAAGGAGCTGATGCGCACCCTAGTCATAGGGCTGGATGGAATGAAGGAGCTCATGCCCTTGCCTCAGCCTATGGGCTCTCATTCTCACGCATTCTTACTCTGCGTAATCTCATCCTACCCAAGCCCAGAAAGCCTGCTTATTTTTTAATTACAATTATTGTATAACTATAAAACCCCATGGTTATTTACACATATTTCAAATGTCAGCTGAATCATGTAGACTGTATCTAGATTACTTATGATATTTTTAAAAAGATCGAGAAATTAATCTTCCATCAACCTCGAATTTTTTGTTTAGTAAAAAATAAAAATCAGTTGGGTTTTAACATCTGTTACCCAAATAGAAATACGATTTAGTTCTAAATAAGGACTGGATTCTATCAAGTCTATTATTTTTCCAAAATCAGGGTGGAGGAGATACAGGGGATATATTCATTAACTCATTCCCCAGCCATTTTTTTTAAAGATTTTATTTATTTATTTATTTGACAGAGAGAGAGAGAGCACAAGCAGGGGGAGTGGGAGAGGGAGAAGCAGGCTCCCTACTAAGCAGGTGAGGGGCTCGATCTCAGGATCTTGGGATCACGACCTGAGCCTAAGGCAGAGGTTTAACCGACTGAGCCACCAGGCGCCCCCCATCCCCCAGCCATTCTATTGATGAATGACTGATCATTACAAGAGCCTTGATGATTTGGGGACACATCTGAATCACTGTAGCCTTCAATTTTTGTTCATAGATTTACCTTCTGAAGCCATCGATCCTTTTTCTCTCACCTTGACGCCACATGTCCCTGTTGCCCTCTGCTCATGAACAAGCATCCTCTGAGCTCTCTCCAGACGCCTGGTTTCCAGGCTCCTCACCTTCCAGCCTGCTGTGGTTCATCAACAAGTAGTTCCATTAAACGTGGTGCCAAGGATTAAAAATGATTCCCCGTGTGCTGTCTCACCAGCACGGAAATGTGCTATTGAAGCTATTTTCACTGTTTCTTCCTCATTAGGTAGTCTTTTTTTTTTGCTCTCAGGCTCCTTGCTTACCATGGTCCCTTGCTATTTGTGGATAACATCTAGTGATTTCCCTGCTCCTTTTCCTGAAAATGTAAACAGGCTCAGTGTTCGGTCCCTAATCTTCTTTTTTCATGCCTCATATCACCTTTGTTCCCCATATCGAAGCTTTCTTTTTAGGCCTGTGTTCTTCTTTAAGTGTGTGGCATTTGCTACAGTGATCAATTATCCTAGGTAATTGCTCCTCATTTGAGCATCCCTATTCTTTCTCATTAAAGACCAGACAAGACTACTTCCTCTCATTGACCAGGTGCACCAGATCTCTTACTTTGCCCCAATTTACCATGTGGCAGTTTAATACTCTCAAAGGTTTAGGAAAACAAAAACAGAAACAGAAGTAAAACCAAGGAATCACAGAAGTAGTAACTGTGAAGGTTTATTTTGCACACACCAAAAAAAAGACAGTTTGCAAACCGGGAGTACTCAAACCAAAACGTGGGATGAGACTCAGAGGATATTGTTATAAAGCAGCTTAGAGATCACAGAGGCAGGGACTGTTTATTCTTCAAAGTGTTTGGTAACAATATTAGAGTTTTCTTCAATGATAGAGAATTGGGTAGTGGTTACATCCTATCAATTTGGGGGAAGAATTTAAGTTTCAGTTATGATTTTCAGAGGCATAAGCTAGATGTGACCCAAGTCGTCAGCCTATTTTGTCATGCAAAATAAGCTAAATTAAGCTTTGCTTGTATGACTAAACTGGTTTTTGTCTGGCTCAGGACATTTTCAAGTCTGGTCTCCGTGTGTTTGATTTTAACAGTGCTTTCGAGCTCATTCACTGAGGGGCCTAATTTGAGTAGCTTTGCTTGCTCAGTGGACAGCTGGCTCCTCTGTTCTGTGCCCTCCCTGCAGTAACAGACTGCTGTTTTCCTCTGAGCGGCTTCTTCTGGGGGCCACCCAGGGATCTGCTAACCATGCAAGAGAGAACACTTTTTTGTTTTGTTTGGGGGCGTCATGCATCTTTACAAACCCAGTTAAGCTTTCTCTCCTAGTTTCCAGGTATCTTGGTAACGATGGTCTACTTTGTCTTTCTGAGGTTGTAAAAGGAGGCTAATGGCCCCTTCTCATTACATCTCGGCTCCACTGGGCCTTTTAAACTCCTCCAGTCGGTGCCTCATGTATTGGTTCACATTATTTGCTGCTGTTATAAATGTGATTTCTTCTTGCTTATCAGACACACGCCCTAAAAATACATGTGTTAACAGTTCCTGTGCTGCATGTTTAAGAATTCAGATGAGTCAAAAGTGGGCATTCAGGGAGAGTACACTCTGGAACGCTAACTTAAAATTCCAGTCAGCAATCCTTTGGAGATGTAAATTGAGGAAGCAGCCCTCCTTTTGGACAGCTTAATGATCTGTAGTTAATAGTAAGAGGCTGCTGGGCAGATGCCATACAGCTGGGCTTACGTTAGCCTCTCTCAGCTCTCCAAATTGCCCCGTGATTACAGCCATTGAGATTCAGAATCCTACCCGGGATCAATAACCAAAAGCACAAACAAAGATCTGACGGTGGCTTGTCAGTGTGGCTTTTTTCTGCACACCGTCCTGCCCAAGCCAGCGACTGACCCTTTCTCCCTGGTCCTGCCTCAGGCTGAGCTGTCGCCTGCACGAGAACTAGAGAACTAGCTCCCCAACAAGTCTGGGATGAAGAGTGCTGGACTGAAGGCCAACTTCTTCTTTTACTTGAGTGCACACAATTTCATTAAACTTGACAGAGACTGAGTGTCATCTCTTGGTAGGAAAATATAAGCCTGGAAGCCATACAGTCATAGTTCCTGGAGGCAGTTGGCTTGTTTTTATGCCTTATATGTAAAATTGGTTTGGATTACTGTGTGTTGAGGTGGCAGGTCCATTTACAATTCCCAGGGTCTTGTTATTTTCACTCAGAAACTCAAGTGAATTCAACAACCATCACCACAAAACAACCCATTCAAAAATGGGCAAAGGACTTGTAGAGACATTTCTTTAAAGATGATGTACAAAGGGCCGATAGGCACGTAAAAAGATACTCAATGTCACTAATCATTAGGGAAATACAAATCGAAATCATAATGAAGTATCACCCCACCCCCATTTGAATGACTAGTATCAAAAAGCAGAAAATAACCACTATTGACAAGGTTGTGGAGAAATTGGAACCATCGTGCACTGCTGGTGGGGACACAAAAAGGTGCAGCTGCTGTGGGGAAACAGGATGGCAAGTCATCAAAAAGAGAATGACCATATGACCCAGCAATTCCATTTCTGGGGATACACCCAAAAAAGAATTGAAAGCAGGGCTCGAGAAGATATTTGTACACCCACTTTCCTAGCACCACTATCCCTCATGGCCAAAAGTTGCAAGCAACGCAAGTATCCATTGATGGATGAATGGAAATGTAGGGTATACCTACAGTGAATAGGATTCAGCCTTAAAAAGGAAGGGAATTGTGATACAGGCTACAACATGGATGAGCCTCAGGGACACTATGCTGAGTGAAATAAACCAGTCACAAAACAACAAATACTATATGGTCCCACTTACATGAGGCACCTAACGTCGTCAAATGCACGGACAGAAAATAGAATGGTGGCTGCCAGGGGCTGAGGGAGGGAGGAATGAAGAGTTATCACTCAGTGGATACAGAATTTCCCTTCTGCAAGACGAAAAGAGTTCCAGAGATGGATGGTGATGAGGGTTGCACAGCTATGTGAATGTACTTAAGGCCATCGAACTGTACACTTAAAAGTGGTTAAGGTGGCAAATCCTGTTACGTGGATTTTACCACAGTTAAAAAAAAAACAAAGCTCAACTGAAGGATGCCATATTCTCTCAGCAGTCCACGCTGTTGAGGGAGATTAGAAATTAAAGGAGGAGGGGCGCCTGGGTGGCTCAGTTGGTTAAGCGACTGCCTTCAGCTCAGGTCATGATCCTGGAGTCCCGGGATCGAGTCCCACATCGGGCTCCCCGCTCGGCAGGGAGTCTGCTTCTCCCTCTGACCCTCCTCCCTCTCATGCTCTCTGTCTCTCATTCTCTCTCTCTCAAATAAATAAATAAATAAATAAATAAATAAATAAATAAATAAAATCTTAAAAAAAAAAAGAATCTGCTTTAAAAAAAAAAAAAGAAATTAAAGGAGGAAAAAAACCAGCTGAGGGAATAGATCTTGAATTTATGTACAACTAATTACAAATATGCTTTTTTTTTTTTTTTACAGAGTCATTTTTCTCTCAAGAAGGGAGCTGCAGCTTTGGGGATTGGAACAGACAGCGTGATTCTGATTAAATGTGATGAGAGGTGAGTGTGCATCTGCAACCCTTCATTGGTTGGCAGTTGGCAACTTCCACACATGTATCTTTCAGTCCAAACGCAGGCATTGACTGTGGGGTGGGGGGCAAAACCACCTCCATCCCAGCTTGCTGTTCACTGTTTCTTTTTCACGTGGGCTCTTGCTTGGAGTCCTGGGACATTGTTCCTCAATGCCATGGAGCCTTCCATGGCCCTCGACTGAATTGGCACCTTTGTTAAATCAATCAAAATATTCTGCACCAAGAAGGTGCAGAAGGGCATTCATCACCTGGGCACTTAAGCACAAACCAGCAGTTTGAGTATTGATTCATGGAGGTGTCATCGTTCTAGGCGCCATGGATTGTGCGAGCTTGATGGACTGATTACAGAAGGGGGGACAGTTTAGTGAGCAGGAAGTAAATAATGCCCCCAGCAATTTGTCCACTTTGTGCTGGAACCAAAGAGCTCTCTTAGGGAAAATCCCTGCCTTAATAGGCACCCAAACCTCATAGGTACTCTGGGAAGAGGTGTAGGATTAAAAAGCATTTCCAGCATATCCATGTAAATTTTCACTAGCCTATAGGTCTGGAACCGATAAGAAATTAAATTTAGTCTCTAAAGAATTGAGTAAGAAATTTCACTAAATTAAAAGGGAGCTACTCAATTAACCATTTTTTTCATATGTATTTATTAGACAGACTTCATGTTTGCCCACCATATCGTGAGGCTCCAGAAAAGCATAGGGCATCAACATCCCGGTTCCCTGACAGTCTATGATCTAAGGGAGATAGGATAACACCAGAAGGAGACAGTTATAGGGTTGAATCGTGTGGCACAGAGTACCTGTTCTGTATATTGGTAAGGCTTGGAAGGCTCCACACAGCAAGCAAGACTTGTGCTCTCAAAGATTTTCAGTGAAGGATGAACTGAATGGATGGAGGGGAAGTGGGGTGCCATTACAGAGGACGGAACACCACAAGCAAAGCCCCAGAAGTAGGAGTGAGCATGTGGAGCTCCAGAGAGGAAAGGGACCTGAGCAGGGCTATCAAGGAGGAACGGTCATGGCAAACCTGGTGGACCATGTGGGATTTTGAAAGCTCAACAAAACACACTGATTAATGACGCATCTCTCTCTGGGAGGGAAAATCACAAGGGATTGCCGCTTTCTTGTCCACGCCTTTACATCTTGCCTGACCTGATCTGGTTGTTTACAAGGAACACATGCTACTTTTACAATCAGAAAGAAAAAGTGACGTTTTCTTTTTCCTTGTTGTGGGGGGAGGACACTAAACTTAGCACTTGAGCTTGATACATCAGCAATCAAGGTCACCTGAAAGCATTTTTATCCGAGAAGGGCATGAGAGAAACCATCCTTCAGGAAGCAAGGTGAGGAGAGACCTGGGTCAGTGAGGCTGGGCGTGAGGCTCTAGCAATAGGATGGGTGGGAAATTAGAAGGACTGGAGCAAAGCAGGCATATTTTGAAGAAGGAACTGCTTTTATTTTTAAGACTACCAGTCTACAAAAATTGCTAACAGGGAATAAAGGTTTAGATGACTTTAGCATTGTTCTTAATCTGTAGCCACATCTTATAAGGAGCCTAGAATTCGGGGAAGGACAGTCTAGACAGACCCTGTTAGCTGACCTACTCCGTCTTCTAATCTAGCCTGGTTAGCAGGTGTTCTTGACCTTGAAGCCCAGTGGGTGAGGGATGACCTGGGAGAACAGAGGGTACCTCGAGGCATCAATATTGCTGCTTCTACTCCTGTGAAAATGTTGTAACGATGCAAGTGGCCTTGGGATGAGCCCACCCAACCAGCCAGCCAGGCATTCCTGGGAGCTGAAGGCTGGCCTGAGGACTGCTGACTGTCTGAGGCAGGATCATGCTCCCAAGGGAAGTGCAGGCCTGGAAGAAGGAAAGGCAAGAGGAAAAGCAAAAAAGTCACAGGAACAGAGCACAGAAGAGGTTGCAAGGGAACAGATGCCAAAAGATGTCTGTTGTTCACCAACAGCAGAGAAAGGAGCAGAAAGCAGAGAATGCTGGGAAACCAATGGGGTCTCGAATCAGTGACTAGCCACATCACCTCAAATTTTTAGGTCAAAGAATTTTATGTCAACAATTTTAGAAGCCATTAGAAACACTAAAACACAATGTTAAAAATTACTGTTTTTTTCAGAAAATACCTCACTTTCCCCGGCAACTCCCCCCGTCCCCCGTACACCCATTGGGAGGGGACAGAGGGAAGGGACTACCAGGCACGTAGGGCTAGGTGGGGCTTTTCCTTCTTCTGCTCATGAGCCTTGTGGGATGGGGAAGGGAGGAGAGAACAATACAGGAGGAAGAAGAAAGAAAGAAAAATAGATAAGAAATAAAAGATGGGAGAAATAAGGACCAGGAGGAAAAAACAAATTGCAATGAAGTATGAAGTGAAGCAAGGAGGAAGGAAGTACAGTTGAAAACATGGGTGTCAAGGGCACTGACCTCCCCACCACTTGCAGTTGAAAATTCACATATAACCTTTGACTCCTCCAAAACTAAACTACTAAGAGCTACTGTTGACCAGAAGCCTTACCGATAACATAACCAGTCAATTAACACATATTTTGTATGTTTTATATATATTACATACTATATTCCTAGAACAAAGCAAGCTAGAGAAAAGAAAATGTTATTAACAAAATCGTAAGGAAAATGCATTTACAGAACTGTATTGTATTTATCAAAAAATATCCATGTGTTAGGGGCACCTGGCTGGCTCAGTCGATGGAGCATGCGACTCTTGATCTCAAGGTTGTGAGTTCGAGCCCCACAGTGGGTGTAGAGAATTACTCAAAAATTAAAAAATCTTAAAAAAAAAAAAAATATCTGTGTATAAATGAACCTTCACAGTTTTCAGACCTGGGGGCAAGAAGCACATGAGAACTTTAAAGAGGAGTAAGTGATCGTTTTTACCATCTGAAAAGCAATACATGCTTACTTTAAAAAATACAAAATAACAGGGAAAAATTGTCATTCCACCACCGAAAGATCATCACTAATACCATACTGGTGTCTAAATCTTGAATCTCTTTTTCTAAGCATAGAGGTTTGAGTTTTTTTCTTTTCCTGTTTTAATTTTCATATTTATGATCATGTTTCTTTTTCTAACTAGACATGGTAAGTATCTTCCCACATTATTGCAAACACTCTTAACTACATAACATATGAGAAAGCATGATAGTACTTTGTTTTTGATTCTTTAAAGATTTTATTTATTTATTTTATTTTATTTTATTTTATTTAAAGATTTTATTTATTTATTCATGAGAGACAGAGAGAGAGAGAGAGAGGCAGAGGCAGAGGGAAAAGCAGGCTCCCCACGGAGCAGGGAGCCCGATGCGGGACTCGATCCCAGGACCCTGGGATCATGACCTGGGCCGAAGGCAGACACTTAACCGACTGAGCCACCCAGGCGTCCCAAGATTTTATTTATTTTATTTGGAAGAGAGAGAGTGAGTGAGAGAGCGAGCATAAGCAGGGGGAGGGGGAGAAGCAGACTCCCTTGCTGAGCAGGGAGCCTGCTGTGCGGCTCGATCCCAGGACCCTGGGATCATGATCTGAGCCAAAAGGAGACGCTTAACCAACTGAGCCACTCAGGCGCCCCACATGATAGTACTTTGAAGGGTGGTTTCTGGAGCTGGACTCTTTGACCCCCTCCCCCCATCTCAGCTCCAGCACTAGCTTGGGCATTTCCCTCTCTGCACCTCAATTTTCTTATCTGAAAAAAAGGAAAAAGTAAGGGCCCTGCTTCATAGGGTTATTACGAAGATTAAATGTGTTAACAAATATAAAATACTAAAAATGATATGTAGTAGTAGAAAGCAAACACAAAATATTACCCCCTCCTGTTCATTTCCCTGTTTCTGGTGTTGCTATTATAAATAATCCTTCTATCCTTCATTGAACATTCTTATGTGCCCAGGTTTCTCCATTTAGGATTATTTCTTAATATAATTGCTAACTTAAGTTATATGAATATTCTTAAGGAAAGTGATACATCAGGCCATATTGCCTTTCAAAAGTTTTCACCAATTTATTCTCCTAGCAGTATTGTATGAGAGCATGTTGGGGGAAAAATTAAAGCTGTGTTGGTAGCTACATGTAGTCTTTAATTCTATATTGATAATTCACATCATCTCTATAGAATGGTTTTAAGACGGAGAGCCTGGCCTAATGGATTAAGAGAAATTGAAGTGTCTGGGTTGGGGGGCCAAGGAGCAGACTTTGGACAGTCATCTGTAGCCACCATTCCAGTCAGAATCAGTTAAAACATGCCTGGCAGCCATTTTGTTTTTATTAATCACGTCCTTGTGAAAGTCAGATGTTTGGGTCAAAAAATCACTTGAGGCTGACAAAGTGCATACCTGCCTTCTCGTTTCTCCTAGTGTGCTTGGCAGAGTTCATCCAGGTTTTACAAAACATGAACCTGGACCTGCTCTCAAAAACATTCATTTCTTAGTAACTCTTTCTGACTCTGCCCATTAGTCTGTCAGTGGCTGGGGTAATAGGTTTTATCTTGTTCTACAGACAGTTGACTTAGTAGGAAGCTCACAATGAAGGGAAATGTCCTAGTGAAGAAGAATAGTCTCCTAGTCCAATGCCACATATGGAAGAAAATACAAGATACTGTCTCTTAATTAGTAATCATAGGGGCTCAGTTTGATAACCCATTCAAAGTGAAACATGATTCTCAGTTAAAACAAAGAAAGAGAAATATATAATAAATCTTCATGTATTTGGAAAAGCTTCTTTCAAAGTTGAAAATCAAAAAGCATATTAACTTTATTATTACTCTAATAAATAAAATAAGGCAATGGAAAACCTCACTTCACCATGGGCTTACATTTGAATGTGAAGTATCATAACTAAAAAGAGTGTTTCTATTTTTGTAAAAATTAATTATTAAATTAAAAAGAGGATAATGTGTTAAATGAATCTTCGATTTCATAAGTTCTAGTGTAAGAGTTCTTT